TCTTGAAACTGTGCCTGCAGTCAACCTACGTCACATATGGGGAGCAATATTATAGGCAGAAACATGGGTGTGCTATGGGGTCTCCAGTTTCTCCTATTGTTGCCAACCTGTACATGGAGGAGGTAGAAAAGAGAGCCTTGACGTCCTTTTCAGGGACACCACCAAGTCATTGGTTCAGGTATGTTGACGACACCTGGGTTAAAATCAAATCTCAGGAAGTCCAACATTTTACTGACCACATCAACTCTGTGGATAAATACATCAAGTTCACACGAGAAGATGTAAAAAATGGCAGGTTGGCTTTCTTGGACTGTGAGGTCTCAGTCTCTGATAGAGGACATTTGCAAACTGAGGTGTACCGCAAACCCACCCACACAGACCAGTATTTGCAGTTTGACTCCCATCACCCTTTGGAGCACAAGTTAGGAGTCATCAGGACTCTGTATCACAGAGCAGACAGCGTCCCCACTAACTCAGGAACCAGGCAGAAGGAGAAATCCCACACAAGACAGGCTCTAGAGTAATGTGGATATCCTAACTGGGCCTTCCTGAAAGCAGAGAAGAAACCCAAACAGGACTCCAGTCAGCCAACAGGTGAAAAGGAGGAACCCAGACCCAGACCAGTGGTCATTCCATATGTTGAGAGAGTATCAGAGAAACTGAGAAGTTTATTTTCTAAACATAACGTCCCAGTGGCTTTTAAACCCCAAAATACATTACGGCAAAGACTGGTTCATCCCAAAGATCCAGTCCCCCGGCACAAACAGAGTAATGTTGTGTATGCTGTTCAGTGTCAGGAGGGCTGTGATCAGTCTTACATCGGGGAAACTAAACAGCCACTGGCCAAAAGGATGGCCCAGCACAGAAGATCAACATCATCAGGCCAGGACTCTGCGGTCTACACTCATCTCCAGGCCAGCAGTCACTCTTTCAGGGATGAAGATGTTCACATCCTGGACAGAGAGGAACGATGGTTTGAGAGAGGATTAAAGGAGGCCATCTTTGTGAAAAGAAATCGTCCATCGTTAAACAGGGGTGGAGGCCTATGTGTTCAATTGTCCCCCTCTTACAATGCTGTGATTGCTAGTATCACTCAGCCCTCTGTGAATAGTAAACAGCCATCAGGTGCTAATGATCCATTGTTAGGCTGATGGTCCTTCTTGAGCATGTGATCAGCTGGTTTTGGTTGTCAGCAGCAAACTGGTTGATCCACTCTGAGAAGGTGCTATTTAAGAGACTGAGCTGAATACAGCACCTCACTCAGACTGAGGAAGTCTCTCGGATGAGAGACGAAACGTTTCTACATTTTTTTGCTTTGTTTTGTTTTTTGTTTTTTTGAATGTCCAGAGGACCAGATTGAACTTTTTTTGGATTTTTCTACCTGGATTATTGAGCATGCATCAGGATGACTTTATCTTGTTGATGTCTCTAAAATAATTATTGAATCAAGTGCTCTAGCTAAACATAGATGTTTAATAACCTGTTAAAAGACACCAGAATGCAGGAAACGGCATCTACTAATTTTCTGGGGGAGGACCCCCCCCCCCCCCCCACACACACACACACACACATTATAAATGCTTCTGGTGCCAATGGGCACAACAGAGGCACATGGCCAAGCAAGTGGAAACAGGCCCTTAAAAGTCTTGTCCAGGCCAAACATTTAAGAAATGAGTTTTTACTGTTAGCAAAATACTCTGCTGTATTTGGCTTGCTGCTGTTGTTGTTTGTTTGTTTGTCGTTTATTTTTTGATTGTTGTCATTTTTCCAATGCGTGCCCTAGTTAAATTAGGATATGTTAGTAAATGTCTTTTTACCTGACGCATGTTGTCTTTTCCTCTAATTTTCTTCTTCGAGTGTACCAGAATGCTTAATTTACATGTCTAAAATATCACACGCACACCCTCACCCTCACCCCCCTGGGGAGGAGTAGGTTTGTCAACTTATTCATCCCTTCTGAGTTTGCAGGTGTATAAACAACATGTTACCTGTTGTAGATGGCTCTTTGACCAGCGTAACTTACAACTGCTCAATGGTTTGTTGTTTGTTTTTTTTGTTTTTTGTTCTGTGTATTTAATCTAAGTTTGTTTAGTTTATAAGTCAACACAGTACTATTGTTTTACTAAATGACTGTGTGTAAATATTCTTATTTCTATGAAGACTGAAGCAGTGTTGGTGTTTAATGTGTTTTTGTATTTTCATCATTTTGAAGCAAGTAACAAGATCTCTATGAATGTAACTTCTATCAGACAACCTGTCATTTTTATGACATCTGATAACAAGTGCTATTTTTTGTCCTTGCTTTTAGATATTTTTTAAAACCAAAACTTTGTAGTTTCATCTTGTTTTTCTCCACATTAAGATAAATGTTTATATATCTTTCTAAAAGATTGTTACAGTCTTCGTTCTTTTTGCCGTGACACTTTTAATTATATTTTGTCCATGACATACTTTATTATTTTATTTTGAGAACAGTTCAGGCCTACTTATCAGTTTACAGCTCAGTTTCAGTTTTTGAGACTACCCTTAGCCTCAAACGTAGCTGAGTTGCTCACATCCTGTTATCTTGTTACATGTAGTGTTCAGCTTCTCTGTCACGAAGTAGCTCAACCCTAAACCAACATATTTTCTTTGTTTTTACTCAGTAGTGTAGTTTTATTAAACAAATATTTTGGGTATTGAAGACTAAAATGAAAAACTGATTAGGAAAACTAATTTTATTTTACTAATTTTATTTCAATGTTGCTCTTTTTTGTGTACTTTGATTTTAAACGGTGAACTTTACAGATTATAAAACCACACCATTGTACATTTAGTGTAAACTTAGACATTTAAATATGGAAAATTGAGTGAAAAATCCTAAACATACTGGTAATTATGAGTAAGTACAATTTTTTTTTAATGGTGGAAGCGATGGCGCAGAGGGTAGAGAAGGGAGCCTGTGATCAGAAGGTCGTAGGTTTGTATCCTCAGAATGGTTAAAAAAACATGGGTGTAGTAGGTGAAGCTCCCACATTTGCCTCCAACATTGTTGACCCCACTCCGAGCTCTTAACCCCCAACTGGGTGCTTTAGATGGCAGCCATGTGCACACATGTGAGATGGGAAAAATGCAGAGAATTAATATAATAATAGGTTCATAAAAAAATGGTTCTTATTAAATTTCATCTATTAAAGTTGTTTATTTATGGCAGTTTTAGTTCTGGCTTTACTCCAACCAGCCATTAACTTGTCATAGAGCTATCAGCAACAGGTAAGATATTGACTGTTCATAAACTTTCCTCAGAACAACGCTGAACTATCACTTAAAGGTGAATAAATATCCAAACAGTAAGTTTTGTATGCGACTTTAAACCAGTAGTCTTTGCTCCACATGTGACAATGTTGAAACAGGAAGTAATCAGACCTCTGCTGTTATGTCAGCAAGTTGTTTGTTTGTTTTTGTTTTTAACCTGAGATCAGTCCACGTCTTTAAAACGTTTGGCTTCTTTCTTATTTTTGAGCTCAGACTGGATGTAAAGCCGTGATTGTTTTGTCTTTTACTGGATGGTTTTGTCCCAGCAACAGCATGTTTGTGTGACCTCTGCAGCACCTGGGTCTCAAAAGAACAGGGTCAGATATTGTACGAGAGGAGCAGGAAGTCCTCTTATCCTGGAGATTTAATAATTAACAGCTGTTCTGATTAATTTTAATGCACTCGGTGCATCATTTAATGGTTGTGTGCTGAATCCCAGCTTTAGCAGGTGAAGCCAAACTCATCTGAATTTCCAGAGAACAGTGTGTCACTTCCTGCTTTTTTTCCTGTGTATGCTTTAATAAAATCCCGACAGCCATCTTGACACAGCATGACTCAGCTGAGTGAATTACAGAACACGCATTTGTCTTTTTCCAGTGTCAGGATCCAGAAGAGTTTTGCCTCCCTGAGCACACGCTCCTGCCCTTTCCTCGCTCCTCACACATTTGTGCATCTTTTCCAGGATCAGCGCCTGAAGGAGATCAACATGCAGACTCCCCCGTCTGCCTCCCCCAGCAGCCAGTCAATAAGCAGCGCCAACAACAACAACCACATCACACAAACCCCGGAGTTGTTCAGCTCGGCACTGACTGCTAACAGGTGCGCACACAAACTCACATCCCATGTCTGCTCACATAGGCAAGGTTCAATGATAAATGTGCAGCTACGTCATCAGAAATTCATTAGATGAGCAGCTGGAGCATCGTGTGCTGCTTTAGTGAAGAGGTCTGTGAAGAAAGTAGCCTTTTTTGAAGGAATGCAGATTGTCCTGCACTTTGCAAGCTGAAGTTTAAAACAAGGATCGCACACAGTCTGTTAATAATTATTCATAGACTCTGATCAATTACCACAAACTTTACCTCTAGCTGTAAAAAGATGAAACGTTAGTCATTTGCGCATTTTTTGTGGTCAGTTAGCTGTGGTAGCCATCTTGGAAAAATGGTCGAGTCCAAAAGAGAATTACAGTAGTCCCTGGTTTATTGTGGGGGTTCGGTTTCAAACCCACCTGCAATAAGTGAAATTCTGCAAAGTAGCAACATATATAAAGGATTTAGAAATCCTTCCCACTCTCTTGCAATGTTCTAAACTCTTAAACCTACATCATTTTAACAACATACCTACAGTACTGTATATGTAGCTACTAAACTTTCCTCACCAGGCTCTGCAGGACAGCAGCAACAGCTCACGGTTCTGGTCCGACTCTGTTCCATTTCTGCAGATGTGACCAGCAGCGATGAAGCCCACAATCAATGCTCTAAACTCTTAAACCTACTAAATTTAACTACATGCTTATATGGAGCTAATACATTTTACTTACAAGGGCGTCCCTGCTTAGAGGTCCTCGTGGGCCGGCTAGGAGCTCTCAGGTTCACGGAGTCTGGAGGTCCGGTTCTGGTCCGGTTCATTGCAGCTCTTGAGCATCAAAGTGCATTTGGGGGGAGGGCAGACCTTCTGTTTGCTGACATGGGGCCATAGGTGGTGGTTTGAGTCCAAGTCTGGATGAAAAAAGTCCAGATGAGCTACTGAAACGGCGCCGGACCTTCGGCGCACATCCGCGCTTAGAAGTCCTCGTGGGCGGGCTACCAGCTCTGAAGATTCACCGATGCGTCTAGCGGTGTGGTTCTGGTCCAGTTCGGTGGGCTCAGTGTGGATTCTCTGCTTCTGCTGGGCAACGATCGGATCAAAATTTTCCCTCTGGTTTTTTCAACAGAGGGAAACTAGGCTTCTGGGCAGAGCCCTGTTGCCTTCTGGGAAATGTGGTCATTGAGTGGGAATACAGTGGAGAAAACTACAAAATGACAGCGCCTGTCTGAAGTATTTTATTTTTTTGTAAACTTTTACTGTACAGTACTGTATCATGTACTGTCCCAGTCACGTGAGTAATATTAAAGCTGACAATCATGTGTCCTGTACAGTTTTATTTGTCCAGTATTATGGACTGAACGTCCACAAACCATGATGGAGCGTGTCTGTGAAAGTCGGACCGTGATGGAGCGAGGGACTACTGTAGTCTTAGAAGTACACCCAATAATTTTTCTTAAAATACATTTGGTGAGTGGTGACACATTTTACTAAAGCTAAAGACAAAATGAACACAAGCGTGGAATTGTATAACTGCCCATCTTTCATGGCAGATTAATTGTCAGATTAACCTTTAGACAAAAAGTAATATTGTCTACATTAGTATGCTTTCAAGATAGTTTAAAGGTATTAAAATAAATACAGCTCAACTGTAAAACACATCACCACCAGCACCAATCAGCCTCACCTTTTTTTTTTTTTTTAGACAGGGCTAGTTTTAATTTGTCTTCGACTTACATGTATGAAGTAACACAGTCTGGTATTAAATGTGACTATATGACAATAACATCCGTTTAGTTATAAATATTTGTTTTTTCTTAAATACTGACATCATGTCTGGAGTTGTTACTTTGAAGACATTTAGAAGTTTGTTTTCCATCATTGTCCAAAAGTTCATCTTTAAAGTTTCAGTCCAGATCTTTTGAATCAGTCAGTGGAAAAGTTGGGAACAGTCAATATCTTACCTGTTGGAGATGGCTCGTTGAATGACTTGAGGATTAGTTTAATAATAGTGAACTGATGGCTAGTCTGACCGAGCCGACAACAAAATGATTTCCGTTGTCATAAAACATCTTTAATCTCAAAGTTTATCTCGGGAGACTATAATTATTTTTATTATTTTATGAAAATAATTTATTTTTACATCCAATGATTTTTACCCTTTTTTCTTAAGCTTACAGCTAGCATTATATTGCCGCCCCCCACTATGGCACAAACTATGAGGCTAGTAAAAGGTAAACAAACGAACGAACGAATGAGTGTAGATGTTGACAAACTACAAAATAACTCCTCATAAAGCTGATAAACGAGTAAATGCACCATTTCTAAACTCTTTACACAACGATGACTTGAGCCAAATATTTTAATTTATAACGGATTTTGTGGTTATGTGCAAGCACAGACAACAGCAGCAGTAGCAGGTAGCTGTAGCACTTCTGTGCAGGGTATTGCAGTTCCATCAAAGATGTATTTTATCTACCAAAAGAAACGACGTAATTTAAGTTTTCACAGAACCCCGCTGAAAGTGTTGCTGTTTGTAGCTCACTTGGTCGGACTTTGGTTTCTCTCCCAGTGAAACCCTCCAGTAGCTGCTGAACCCAGGTTCAATTGAGCCAAGACCAAACGGCTGAGTTTTTTTAAATCCAGGCTGAATTCAGCCTCGACATGCACATGCAACACTCTGAATTTCCTGCTGCTGACTGTTTTATAGCTCTGAATGTTTTTACAGCCATTCAGAGAGAAATTAGGTTTTTTTTACTGGTGGCTTTAGCTGTTTATGCTCTCCCGCCATTTCTATTTCTCTTGTGTTCCCTCTAATTCATTTCTCTCTCTTTCCCTTTTGTGTTATTCTTATTTTATTCCTATCAACGCTCATCCTTTCGTCCTTTTTTAAATGTATTTTTCATTTTTATCTGCTCGTCAGCGTGCCCAACCTCAACAGTGACCTGTTTGATCTCCAGCCGGCCTTCATTCCTGCTGTGCAGAGCACTTCTTCAATCTCCAACGCCAACAGTGCCTGGGGAGGTACGTTATCTGCACACATTCATGAAGGAACCAGTAGGGACTGGTCCCATAGCTGCCTGTAATACATACACATGTTCACAAGTAGATCTATTGTGTACAGTATTCCCTAGGGCCAGTCATCCATCCACCTTCCATCACTCTCTCCTTTAGAAACCAATGTTGCATGACCCATTCAGTGTCCAGAGTTGAGACAAGCGTGGAGTTTTTCTGCACTATCATGAAAGTAACGGTCCTGGAACTGTGGGTTGGGACTCAGTCTGCTAAGATTCAGTCTCCCTGAATTCTGTTTCATGTCCGTCAGTGTGGAAAGTGTCGCCGAGCGCCACTTTGACACATTAGCTGTCGTAGCACAACGTACCCCGCGTGTTTCTGGAGAAGCTCACTGTTTTAAATCAAGGCGTCTAACACAAAAAGCATGTGGGGGATGTGGCAGCGTGGAGTATTATAGGCTTTATGTCACAGGATTAGGCTGAAGCCACTTTGAATTTGGCCACATTTTGAAGCAGGAGCTACTTCTAAGCTGGACGTTATCTGCAACTCTTAACACTGAATATTATCCCTGTTCTTCACTTTAAAGCAACACAAAGACCACACCATGTGTGAAATAGGGACCAGTTTAGTAAAGCATTGGGTGGAAGACATATGTCTTTGTAAGAAGGACACGTCTAAACTGTGGGAACTACGTTTCTGGATAGTGTTTTGCGTGTTTTCTTATACATCATGTTCATTATTGAGTTTTATTGTTGCCGTTTTGTCTCTTTTGTCATCCAACTCAGCAAGAACATGAATGGAAGTCTCCACAAATAAAACACAAATTCATGTTGGTTCACATATATATATATATATATATATATATATATATATATATATATATATATATATACATAATATTTATATACATAATATTTATACAAATATTAGTGACCACTGTGTGATACATGAGCTAGGTATAAGTATAATATTTTTGTTAGGAGCCAGTAGGTGACCAGAACCGTATGATTTTCAGCTTGATCGCTGATTGATGTCATACTGCAGCCCCCCTCCCCCTCAGTACATCAATGCTCAACAGTTTTGGGACTAATTTGTGCTAACAAGAGCACACCTGGGGAAGGTTTTGACTAAGTATCTCCCTGGACCACACCTGTTGGAGGCTGATTGGAGACCAAATGACCTGCGAGTCGTGCAGCTGCGTTTTGCGTCTTACTTTAGAAAACCACAACCTACTTAAGTTTATACAACTTGCAAATCTAAATTGTAGGCTTTGCACATTATTTTGTTACTCACCTCTGCCCACATCCTACCTGCCTCAGCCTGTTTTGTAAACACCCCCCCACCCCCACCCCCATTTATCATGTAATACACTGGAGCTCATTTAAAATGAAGATGGGCAGATTTAAGCAAATAAATATTTAAAAAAAGTTTTGTGTAGTTTTTATACAAAAACATTCAGGGCTGTAGCTTTGGGTGCTTATTGTCTTAGGAAAACTCTGGAAGGTGTCCGTTCTGTTGCTTTAAAATGTACAGAAACTATTTTGAAACGGATTTCAGACGTTCACCAACGACCATATTTTTCAGCGTATCAGTTGCTTCGGCGTATAAGTCACATTTATTATGCGTCACTGCTGACTGTCACGTTTATTATGCATTTATTTAATGGTCAAAATAGCTTCATTTTGCCTGGACGGCGAGGCGCCATCCATCCATCCATCCATCCATCCATCCATCCATCCATCCATCCATCCATCCATCCATCCATCCATCCATTCATCCATCGTGGCCAGAGCAGCTAGCTCTCTGTTGTTCCTCCACCTGCACCCGCTGAGTGAAGCGAGCGCGCACGGGAGGACTCGCTGTTGCATTTCTTAGAAATTTAACAAGATTAACACTTAAAACAATTGTTTGTTTTCTCGATATTATAGCAAAGGTGGGTCTCAGTTGAACTTGTCCTTAATAAATGCACTTTGATGGTCAAAACGGCTTTATTTCGCCTGGGCAGCGGCGTCCATCCATCGTGGACGGAGCCACTAGCTCTTCAGCGTTCCTCCACCTGCACCAGCTGCAAGCGTGCATGGGAGGACTCACTGTTGCAGTTCTTAGAAATTTAAAGCGTCATTCAGAAATTGTGTTATGAATATGGAAAAAAATAAACATATATAAGTCGCAGGACTGACAAATCTATGCAAAAAAAACCTGCGACTTATACGCTGGAAAATATGGTAGTTGCTCGTAGTTCCAACCCACTGAGATCCTGGCTTTATTAATGGTCTTAAAAGTAGTTCTATTATCTAGTTGGTGTTTAATATTAACAGCAGAGTAAATACAACTGTTGTAAAAACACTGTATTTTGAACGCTTTAATTGTAATTCTTAAAGAAAACCCAACATCAGTCAAAAATAGAAGAGGCAAAAATGAGATAAAAGAAGAAAAATCTGCTCATGAGTGTTATAGAGTTCTATTCAGGCAAACTTCAAACCTGAATCATCAGCGGGGATTACCCCCCCCCCCCCCCTGCCCAAAAAAAAAAGACAAAGGTATATCTATGGATTTCCTCGAACACAGGATTAGCTCTCCCCTGAAAACCCCGTGTTCCCAGCAGCCTGAAGAGAATCCCATTTTTACCAAATGACAACAATGAAAGTACACGGAGGACTGTAAGGTATGAGTTCCTAATCTGATGGGATTAGTTTAGCTGGACACGGTGACAAAGCAACGTCTATAAAATCAGTCTGCTTGCATCTACAGAGGTGTCTTTTTGTGAAGAGGTGTGGGATAAAGCTGCGTCTGCTGCAGCAACAAAACGGGACGTTAATCAGTCATGTTTAACTGCATTCCTCAGGACCGGAGAACCAGCCGCTGCAGAGCACCGTCCCGGCCCTGACTGTAGATTTTGATGCTGTGTTTGGGAATAAAGAAACGTCCAGTAACAACGGCCCACAACCTGCAGCTGGTAAAGCCCTCTCTCTTCAGACACTTGGTCTGATTTTCGGCTTCAGTGGCAGCACGAGTGCAGCATTTAACTAATCTTATAAGTTTTACCAACCTGTGGTTTTTCCTCCTGCTCGGTGGTCTTTCTAACCCTATCACAAAGCTTTCTCATGATGGCAGGCCCAAGGATAGCTGTTTAAAAGACGCCGATTTTAGAATGTTTAAGTCTTACCGAACTGGTTAGCTAATACTATTTTATGAACATTCACTTCAACAGTTTATTTTATTAATATTTATATTAAATTAGGTCAGTTTAAAGAGAAAAAAAATTGCATTTCCTATGAAAATGCATTGTGAATGCTTATTGCAGAAGAACTTGCTGAAAAACTGCTGAATTGAGCTAAAACGTGCTGAAATATAGCTGAAATGGAAGAACAAGCCCAAGTTAGAAGAAAGCAAAAAGATCACATATTTGCTGAATTATGTTTATATAAGCAGAAATTAGCAAAACCTTAGGAAATGAGCTAATAGAGCTAAAATTAGCAATAAAATAGCTAAAAAGTAGCTGACAAGGCAGAAAAAAAAAACTACCAGATGGAGTGGAAGGAGCTGAAATGTGTTTAATAAAAAAATGTGGAATTAGCTGAAAAAGCTAAATTGAGCACAAAAACAGCTAAATACTAGCTGGAATAGAAAAAGCTGAATCTAGCAGAAATAAGCTGAAGGGAGCATAACAAGCTGAAATTAGCAGAAAGTTATGTAGGCTGAAAGGAGCTGAAATTGCCACGAAAAACTTGAATGTATCCGACAACAGTTGATATTAGCTAAAAAATGCTAAAACGTTTGTTGAAAATGTAGAGCAAGCTTAAATTAGCAGAAGTAGAGAGCACAATTTTGTCCAATTAGACTAAAAGAAGAAGAAATGAGCGCAAAAAGTGGAAATTATCTGAAAAAAGAGAGGAAATTATCAACAACAACAAAAACAGCTGAAAAGTAGCTAAAAAGGCAGAAAGAGGCTTAAATTACCAGAAGGAAGTGGAGAGAGCACATTTTTGCTGAATTGGGCTGAAAAAATGTAGAGTGCAAAAATGTGGAATTTGCTGAAAAAAATAATTAGCATAAAAACTGCTGAAATAGTAGAAAAAGCTTAAACTTGCTGAAAGAAGCATAACAAGCTGAAATTAGCACAAAGAAGTTAGAAGTCCAAAGATTTTGTAGTTAGCTGAAATATTCTGAAAAGAGCACAAAACAGCTGAAATTAACTGAAAGTTGCTGAAGAAATGTTTAAATTTGCACAATGAAGCTGAAGCAGAACAAAATGCTAAAGGAGCAGGAAAGGCTTGTAAACAGATCTAAAGATTTGAAGGATGTAAAATGAGCTCAATTTGTTTTCTTTGAGAGAAAAAGTGGCAGAAAAGGCTAAATATTTCAAAAAGCTAAAGTTGCACAAATACCAAACGTCATAGCAGGATTGTCCTGAAAGAGCTTAACGTTTTGATTTATGATTTGTTGAAATAGCACAAAAATTGTGGAACTAGAGAGACTCTGTAAAACATACGGAAGAAAAATGGATCACAATAGAGCTTCATAAACATTCACACAATTTAAATTATAAAAAAAAAAAACAGCAGCTTAAGGCACTTTGGCTGAAGAGAGTAATAATTCTGATGGAACATCTGTGTAACACAAAATTAGCAGTGTTGTAAAAATGTATAAATCAGCATTCCTAAGAACATCAATGTAGTTTTTAAAGTTGTTTTAAGACGGCAGCAGTCTGCTTTGCCCTTCACCATGCTTGGAGTACCTGTAGTTATTATCTCTTCAGTCAGATTCTCCATTCCTCCAAACTGAGGTAATCTACAACAGGTAAGATAATAGTTGTGCACAAGCTTCCACAGAACCTTACTTGAAAGTATCTGATTAAGAGTAGAAAACCAAATAATTAGCATTTCCACCTTAACATCCCAACAGATGAGATCATGTGTAGGAACCTGCTCTTTCACTATCGCTGCCTGACTTCTGGTGTTAACAGCTTTAGGCTGCTGCAGCTCTGAGATTTTACCTCTGAGTCTTTT